TCAATCAAGTGGGAGAAGTCATGGACGCAGAAGCTCATCCATTCTCAGCAGTGCTGTCCCAGCATGCTCCAGGTTATGTAGATTGGGTGAGTTCTGGGTTGTGAGGCTTTGTTTCCTAAGCTTTATTACTGAAGTCCTCTGCTGATTGCACGTGAGTCCAGATGTGTGTTAAGAACACTTTTTGGGACAGCTCCAGAATCACACAACTTACAAAGTTTGAGCCCTACAGTCAGCTTGGCTGAACACTGGCAGGGCTGGTGGAACCTGAGTCTTGTTCTTGCATTTAGAGCTCAGATTTTCACATCCCTGATGTCAGATCTACAGTCGGATCCATAATCTTTGCTTCCTTTTCATTGTTATGCAGTTTTCACAATAACCTTCAGAACCTCTGGAGTTATTGATAGAATTACAGTGGTGTGGTTCAATTCTCACATATGCGGATTGACAATGCAGTAACAATAATGGGAATGACTGTAGGGGACATAGACACAGATGTATTGTAGCATACTGTACAGCATCTACAGGTGACCATGGAAACTGGCTGACCTGAAAGCCATGAAGTCATTACTATTCAGAGCAGTCAAGTACGCAAGGAGAGGGAGGCACTCCTCAGTAAATATTACCAGAGGGAATTTGGTTTTAGCTTAGTTCCTTTTGTCAAGGAGTCAGATTACCTGCTGTTGCCAAGCATTGTCCTTCCCCTTAACAACTAACGTACACGTCCGCAGCAAAATTCCCTGCACAGGGCTTCCCTGCCAGTACACCCTCAGCCACTGCAGGTAAGTACCAGCATGACTCTACTGGCATCTACTTACTAATTTATTGGATTTTTTACATAGTCAAATTGTTTGATTACTCTTCTAGTTGTTTGACATTATTCTCTTTAACTGTGGGAAAATTAAGGTCTGTGCATGTTACGGTATGTATTTTACGTGATAGAAAGTCAACATCAATTATGCGTGGGAGTTCTCGTTGTAGACCGTTGGAGAGCAACCCACGTCCTGTCAATACTGACAGCGATTTTCGTTCTAATGGTGCTGTCACTATTCCAAAACCAACTCTCTTTGCCTGTAGCTCTGATCCCATAGTGCACATTTGCATCTATCATTCAACAATCAATTATATAATGTTGCTTGCAGTTTTCCAGTTTTTCAACTGCTTGAGCACGTTTCAGTTGCGTGTCACCATTCGAGCATTTTTATCGGCACTTTTGTACTCCTGACACCAACCATTAAGACTGAGAAATGTAGAGTTAGCCAAAGGAAAATGTGTCTTGTAAATGTTGCTGTAGAGATGCAGTGCAATAGCCAGGTGGACCTTTTCCTTCTAATCTGCTAAAGCATGCAAAGTGTGGTCTCTCTGCTTCAAAATGCTTACAATACAAGGCGTAAGAAAAGCCTTTCAATGTGTATGGTGTGAGGTTAGACCGTAGTTCATGAATTAGTTAATTCCATCCGTGACGTTCCATAGAGTTCTTCTCATTTCAAAGGATTCTGGTTTACCTTGTGGGCACAACACAGGAGACAAAGGTGAGAAGGTAAATGGGAAAAGAATCTGTTTGTCCCAATTCTAAACAGCAAACTGTGTCAGCATGTCTGAACACCTAATTTCTCATCTTTCATAAAG